GCACAACCTGCTGGAAAGTACAATTCATCAATCTGCTCCTGTCTGCTGCTCAGAGGGGAGATAAGGGAAGAAAGGGAGATAAGTTTGAACAACTCTCTGAAGGCTGAGCCCTGACATGGTCCTCTGTCAGTGCAAAGAAACAGTTTTACCAGAAATGAGGATATTTTGAGCAGGCAGATGAAGAGCACGTACAAAACCCCTCAGTCCAGCACGCCCTCACTGCCACAGAGGTGGCAAATTCAACCAGGACACTGCACATTTAGCCCTTCACAGCTGATCAGATGCATTGTAGAGGTGGTAAGGATAATTTGATCATGTATCTTCATGTATTTAACAGTCTTTATATAAAAAAATGAGACTTGCTTTACGTCTGCTCAGAAATGCGAGAGGCTGGGAAAGCTCCTGGGCTGCTCCCTAGAGAAGCAGAACTTCAGAGAGATGCTCTGCATGAGCAGATCCAGCAGATTTAGTGCAAATCAGAGGTGAAAAATGAAGGAATGCCATCACCTGACAGCATTTTTGGTGCTTTCTCTCCGCTGGGGGTGCAGAGGACACAGAACATGGCCCATGTTCTGGCAGGACTTGGCTGAACGTCTTTCACTTTTTGGCCACAGGAGCAACAGATACCAAAGCACCTTTGGAGAGCACTGGTTGCATAATGCTCTTGGCCAAAATGTCCTGCTGTCATTGCTGGTATTAATGTCTCCAGCAGCCCTGTGGGTACAGGCTGAGTGTCACTGTGTGCACTCGACTGCTGGAGGCTGCGCTCGAGAAGAGCCCCGAGACACTTGTCGTGTGGGTATAGGTGTGACTTTGTGGGCTGCAGATATAAATAACAGGTAGAGCTTAGACTCTGTGGCCTAAACCTTGATGCTTTCACATACTGGCCCAGCTAAGCCTTCATTCCTTGACCTTAAAAGGCCAGATCCTGCCTCGGATAAGAACTTCCCCTGCCTCCCTCTCCACACCCAACCTTCTCCCAGAGCTTCCCACCTCCGACCCAGAGGAACTGTGTCCTCCCTCTGGTTTAGCTCCCTGGGCCCAACCCTCACTTCTCACTATTTCCCTTCCATTTGCTGCAAGTGTTGAGGTCTGAAGGAAATTCCCACCTTGGCAGAGCCAGATTGAGTGGGAGGGATTGAGCAAATGTGGGAAAGGTTAAACAAAATGAGTTTTCTGGAAGGTTCGTCGTTCCGGTTTGTCCTGACTTTCTGTTCTGTCTCACAAATGCCTCTTTTGGGTCACTTTTATTTCCCAAGCTTCCCAGCTCTACTGGACAGGGAATATTGGGTGCAATGACCTTGAAACTTCTCATAGGACCTCTTTACAGCACCAGGAGCAAGGGAAGGACAGGGAGAAAACAACCTGTTTTGTCCACTGTGGGTGATGAGTTTACACAGCAAAAAAGCCACCTGTTGATCTTTGACTCATTCAACAACAAGCCATGTCACATCCTAACCTGAAACATTCCTTGTAAGTGATTAAACCCTGAAAAAAACCGTATTTCTGCCTCTTGACACTGTGAGAAACCACAAGCACACTCGCTGAAATTCTCCTTTTGATGCTCTGAGCTCAGAAGAAATTTTGATCGAAAGCTGAAGGAATTACCCCAAACTTCTTTGTGCTAAAGGACATTCTTTGTTTTGGTTACACTCAGAACCTTTGCTTACTCTTTGAGGACAGTTGATAAATTCAAATAAATGTATTTAATTACAAAATCCCACTGATTTGAGCAGAGAATACTTTCGTGGGACTTGTCCTGATTTAAACCAGAACAAAACTCTGGTCACGCTGAGCAAACTGGGAGGGGGAAGAAATGTGGCTTTGTCAGTTTTGCAAGTCTGGGCTGTGCAGAGATCACTGCTGATGACAACCTGCCAGTTCTGAAGGTCTCTAAATCTGCATAAATAAATAGCTGATATTTCATCTGCAAGCAGCAGAATATTTAATCAGAGAGCTTCTACAGCAGTTTTCAGCTCGGTGTTGACATTTCTGCTGTGTGTGTGTGATGGAACTCCTTCACCTCCTTCACATCCACCCTCACATTGTTTGATTTTCCAAATCCTCCAGAGAGCTCTTCTGCCTCATTTGTTGGGTGCTGTCTTGGGATACCTTAAAAAGGGATCTGATTTTCAGGTTGAGATGAGACATTGGGAAGGAATTCTTGTCTGGGAGGGTGGGGAGGCCCTGGCACAGGTTGCCCAGAGCAGCTGTGGCTGCCCCTGGATCCCTGGAAGTGTCCAAGGCCAGGCTGGACAGGGCTTGGAGCAACCTGGGCTAGTGGAAGGTGTCCCTGCCCATGGCAGGGGGTGGAATAAAATGATCTTTGAGCTCCCTTCAAACCCAAACCTTTCTATGATGCTACAGACTTTTTATGATTCTATATTTTGCTTCCAGACTTTTTATGATTTATGACTTGGATTCTTAGGGAATCACTAGTTACTCTTGGAAAACCTGACCATTTCAGCTCATTTCTACGTGAAACTTTGAAAGTGAAGAACCCTGGAAATTTTCCAAACCTCCAGATGCAAAATCTGGGCGATGTTTAGGAGTTATTTACTTTCCACACCCGTGTGAACTCTTTTGGTTTGTGTTGATGTGAACGTTCAGGAAGAAAAGTGGAGCACCCAAACATCCTAATCTCTGTTTCTGTTTGTCTTGTGTTCAGAGGGACACACAGACCCTGCAATTCAAAATCCTGAATGATTTGGGCTTTATCGCCTTCTGCTTGAGGATGGTGATCCCTCCCTGAGAGGGAGCACTTCACGTCTGTCACACACAATAAATCGATTCCACAGGAAGGCTGGCTCTTAGTCACGTGGATTCTTAGCCCTGTTGGTTTGCAGGAGGTCACACACCACATTTTCACAGCTCACAACATCCGCCTGCACAAACCCATGCCACCCAAGAAGGGCCTGAGCTCTCACTTCGCCAGCACCTCTGAACATCTCCATTTCTTTCGACTCCTGAAATAGCTCTTGGAAATTTCTGGCTGGCTTTTGGAGGTAGTTTTGCTTTCTTTCCTCTGAGTTTGGGCACTTCTCAGCTCGAAACGTTTTATTTCTTGGGGGTAAGAGGGGAGGGACGTTTTCAGCCGAAAGTGTCGGCCAGGCCTCTTCCCCTCAACAGTCTGAGCAGCCCTGCCAGGAACCTCGATGATGCTGTGCCATGACTCAGAAAAGCACTTTGCAGTTCTGTAAACAGCTGCCCCTGTTTATTTGGTGTATTTGGTGAGCCCTGAGTGCGTTTCAGTGCTAATAAAAGCCTGGGGGGCACCTTGACCACCATCTGTGTGTTGGAGGTTTTGGGTCACAACAGGCATTTCAGGAGGTTGGAATGAAGGGCCTTGTGCAAGGGCTGGGGGGGATTGAAACGTGGCCAAAGCTCCAGTGCATCAGCTGCTAATCAAAGTGAAACAATCATGCCTTTCTTTACCATTTTAGGGCAATCCTATAGAGGTGATGGTTTATCAGGCTCCATGCTGATTGTCCCTCTGGCCCAGCTTTCTGTTGGTTGGGATTGCTCGGCCTGGAGAAGAGAAGGCTCCTGGTTGGAATTGTGGCCTTCCTGTTCCTGAAAGAGCTACAGGAAAGGTGGAGAGAGAATATTTGCAAGGGTCTGGACTGACAGGACAAGGGGGAATGGCTTCAAATTGAAAGAGAATAGGTTCAGATTAGATACTGGGAAGAAATTCTTCCTCGTGAGGGTGGGGAGGCCCTGGCACAGGTTGCCAAGTGAAGCTGTGGCTGCCCCTGGATCCCTGGAAGTGTCCAAGGCCAGGTTGGACGGGGCTTGGAGCAACCTGGGCTAGTGGAAGGTGTCCCTGCCCATGGCAGGGGGTGGAATGAGATGACCTTTAAGGTCCTTTCCAACCCAAACCATTCCATGATTTCCTTACAGATCTATCAAAATCACAGGCTTCACCAAATCCAGCTTTCCAGGGTGGGACAAGGGATTTTGGGGAAATCTGGGGGCTGAGTCCACTCAGAAGGTTCGTAATCCTGCTTCAGCTGCTGACTCGAGTACGTGACTGAGGTAAATCAGCTCTTCTCCCTGTGCCTCCCTTATCTGTGAAGCTGGGCTAAATGACTCTTGTTTCCTTTGTAAAGCATCTTGAGATTAGTGGGAGATAAGTACTAATTTGTATTATCTTGATTGAAGTTACTCAGGCAAAATGTTCGTGATTGTTCCCTGAGTCGGCAAAATACGTGGGGTTTAACTCTGCTCAGTCACACACATTTTTGGGTGTCCTGTGCTGGACTTTGCAGATGGTGGTGAGATGTGAGTGACTGACTTGCTGATACATCAGAATCTGAATATTTTGAGAGCGTGGCTGCAAACTGACAGAAATAACTGGGGGTGTCTCCAGTTTACGTGCGTGTGGTGCTGCACTGGCATGACTGGAATAGACACAAAACAATCACGTGGAGAGATTAATTTATTCATTACGTTAATGAACCTTCAGTGGTAATAGCTTGTGTTCTAGAGAACATCCAAAGGAAGGCAATAAAGATGGGGAAGGGTCTTGTTTTGAAGCCGTGTAAAGACACTGAGAGCACTTGGTGTGTTCAGCTGAAGAGGAGGAGACTGAGGGGAGACCTCACTGCAGTTCCCACTGCCTGGGCAGAGGCAGAGGAGGGGCAGGGACTGAGCTCTGCTCTGGGGGGACCAGGGACAGGAGCCAGGGAATGGTTGGAGCTGTGCCAGGGGGGTTGGGATGGATCCCAGGGAAAGGTTCTTCCCCCAGAGGGTGGTGGGCACTGCCCAGGCTCCCCAGGGCAGTGGGCACGACCCCAAGGCTGCCAGAGCTCCAGGAGCGTTTGGGCAACGCTCTGAGGGACGGGGGGGGATTGTTGGGGTGTCCTGGGCAGGGCTAAGGGTTGGACTGGATGATCCTTGTAGGTCCCATCCAACCCATCACACTCCATGACTCTGTGACCCTTCAGTGGCACCGTCTTTGTGTTCCAACCCCCAGCAGAGCCCCGGCCGCGTTCACCACCATGGAGAACTTCCCGGCCCCGCTGAGCTCCGTCACTGAGCTGACCCTCCGGCCCAGCAAGGCCCAGCTCCTGCTGGGCAAGGCCGGCGGTGCCTCCCGGCGCAAGCGGGAGTTCATGCCCGACGAGAAGAAGGACAACACGTACTGGGAGAAGCGGCGCAAGAACAACGAGGCCGCCAAGCGCTCGCGGGAGAAGCGGCGCCTCAACGACGTGGCCATGGAGAGCCAGCTGGCCGCCCTCAGCGAGGAGAACGCCGTGCTCAGGATGGAGCTGCTCTCCCTCAAGCTGCGCTTCGGGCTCGTCAGCCCGGGCAACACCCCCTACCAGGGCCGCTCGCTGGGGATCTGCCTCAGAGGGCACAGGGCCAGCTCCCCGCTCCCGGCGCTGGAGCCCTTGGTGGCAGAGTCCTGCTTCCCTGTGAGGAAGAGCTTCATGCCCAGGGTGGTGGAACCCGCTGACTTCTCCTATGAAACCTTTGGCCCGCCCAGGAACGTCCTGGGCTGTGAGTCGAAGCCGCTTCCCATGGACACGCCGGGCCTCCAGCAGCCAAAGAGGCTTGAGGCATCCCTGGGCTCTCCATTCCTCAGCTACCACTGCCCAGATAAACAGCCCTTCCCTTGGCCTTGGTCGGGCAGCTCGTGCCTGTTGTGCCCTTCCCCCGGCGCCACCGAGGTGAGCAAAGAAAGCAGCACCGCTGTGTCAGACGAAGATGATGAGCAGCAAGTGCCCAAGACTTCTCCTCCGCCCCCCTGCAGCCTGCCCTGCCCTTCTGAGGATCACCCGAAGGGCCGAAGCCACGCCGCCCTCCCTCACAAGCTCAGGATTAAGACCAAAGCCCTCAGCAGTTTGGAGGAGGGTGGCCTGGACTCCCACTGAGGCAGCAGAGGAATGAGCCATCATGAGGCCGGTGTAGGACTTTGGAAAGACATGAAGGGTTTGGAAGGATGGAGTGGGAGGGCAATGTCTCATTCGTCAAAGAGGGACGTGATTTTTCCATGCGTTTTTGCAAATGCCAGGGAGGGTTTCTAGGACTGGGCTGCTCCACCACAGCTCAAGTGCAGCTGGCCATGGTTGTTCCTCTTGGTGGGTGAGACCTGTCGGACACTGCAGTCCCTGAGTCCCACCTGGCAGCTCTGCTGACACAACAAGCTCAGGTGGGAGGTGTGAAGGGGCAGGAAGGGGCCAAGACAGTGGAGGTGGTTCCCACACCACGTAACACAACTGCAGCTGCTTGGGGTGGCAACCCTCGTGATCTTCTTTGCTTCATCATCACCTTCATCTCCACGGATGTGCTCAACTCTTAATTGCTCCACATGGGAAAATATTGATGGAAACAGCTTCAGACCCCTGGAGAAAATAAACAGGGATAGTGACTCTGTGACTGTGGATTTACACTGGCATGAAAGGAGAGCAGGACCTAGTCCACTTTATTCCCAGTTTATCATAATTTATCTTCAGAGACAATGAACTCTTTTTCTGTGACCACACATAGTATGGTCCAGAATATAATTTCATTTATATTTGCAATAGTCATTTTGAAAGACTAAATTTTCTATTTTTTTTTTAACTGAAATGCAAAAAAAAAAAATTAATTTTACTTTAGCTTCTTGCTTTTTAAAATAAGACATTTTCCAAAAATGATCTTTTCATATTTGGGCATTTCCCTTAGAAAACACAGGCAACTTTTACCTGTGCACATGTTGCACTTAGTGTACGTATTCCTAAATCTGCAGGGGTGTTCTCCCTGTCCATCCTGACTGCTTTGCCTTTGGGAAAGCCTCGGGAAAACCTTTGGGAAAGCCTCAGTGAGCAGCAGCCTCACAGAAGGTTCTAGAGCCTACTTGATGCTGTTCCTCAGCCACCTCAGTTTGCAGCCAAAGATAATTCTCAGGGACACATTCCAGGCACAGCCATAACCTCTTATCCTCTAGTTCTTCCATGCTTTGTCTTTTTTTTCCCAAGGAAAGGAGGCTGATGTGGTTTGGGTGGTGCTGTGGCCCGTCAGCCCCAAACATTTTTTGGCATGATGGACAAACAGAGCCCAACCTGATGATTCCATCAGCCCAATCTGGTGGAAGAAGACATCTCAAAGTGAATAAGCATCTCCAAAGTGTTCTCCTCTGCCCCAACCACGCATTTTCATGCAATCTACGGTGTTCCTAATAACAGCAAAGCTGCACTGCCTGCACTGACTTAATTTTATAGCTAAGAGAAACTTCCAGCAATGATAAGACCAGGTAAAAGGACAAACCAGACCACCTGCCATGGGATGGAACAAACCCTCAAATTGGTTTGGAAAGGAGAGCCCTGAGCTGTTCAAAGGGTCACCTGGGCTGGGGAGGTACCAACGTGTGCCTAATAAAAGTGTTTCCACAAGCTGCCAATGCTGTCCTGGCCTGTCTGTTGGGACTGAATCCACTCTGAAATTCCCTCCCTGGGAACAGCCAGCAGGAGAAATCCACTCCCTAGAGCCAAGCCCTGCTCAGCAACAGCACAGGGCACAATGAAGGGCACGGGTGAAGGGAGCTGTGGGGCACACACATGTATTTAAGAAGCTTCCCTTTACACACAGGCAGGACAGTTCCTAAAATACCAAAATTGAAACAGGTGCTCATGAGCAAGAAGCTGCAGTTTTAGGACAGAAGACAGCAAGCCTTTTTAACAGTATCACAACATCTATAAAACAGACACTGGAGCTTTCTAAATATCCTCCTTTCCTCCCCTTCCCCTTCAGAAGATATTTATCAGTGTTTACTAAAAACCAATTAGATATTATGAAGGTGCAAGAAAAGGATTTTTCAAGTAATGGTATAATATTTCAGGATTTTTTCTAGCTCAGCATTGGAATAGATAAAAAAGACTGTGAAATGCCACAGCAGCACACAGGCACGAACTCTAATTCTGTAATAAAATACTGTTGACCACTCCCTCTAATTTAGTTGGGGTTTCATTTCAGAAGATAAGTAGAGGGTGGTGGGCACTGCCCAGGCTCCCCAAGGCAGTGGGCACGGCCCCAAGGCTGCCAGAGCTCCAGGAGCATTTCGACAACGCTCTGAGGGACAGGGGAGGATTGTTGGGGTGTCCTGGGCAGGGCCAGGGTTGGACTTGGATGATCCCTGTGAGTCCCTCCCAGCTCAGAATATTCCGTGGTTCTGTGAATGTCCATCTCCCACATTTCTGTGCTGAGAGGGGTGCAGAGAACTGGGCAGAGCTTCCTGCTCAGGGCTGCCAGGGCATGAGGGGGCAGCTCTTCTGTACCCAGGGGCACGAGGGGAAACCAGAGCGGGGCAACCGCTCCTCAGGTGTGAAACTCCACGCAGTGATGCTTTTCAGATGAAAAGAAACCACAAGTGGTTCCATTTCCTGGCTCATTCCCTCTGTCCTCTCTTCCCCTCAGAGCTGGGAGGGACAGCCCACAGCAAGGAGGGGGCTCAGGGAGTATTTTGCCTCCTCCTCCCAACTCCTGCTCGTCCTCATCACTGGCAGGACCGGCTTTTCTCAGGGCTGGGCAGGGCTGTTCAAAGGGTCACCTGGGCTGGGGAGGTACCAACATGTGCCTAATAGAAGTCTTTCCACAAGCTGTCCTGGCCTGTCTGTTGGGACTGAATCCACTCTGAAATTCCCTCCTCGGGAACAGCCAGCAGGAGAAATCCACTCCCTGGAGCTGAGCCCTGCCCAGGAGCAGCACAGGGCACAATGAAGGGCACAAGTGAAGGGAGCTGTGGGGCTCACACCTTCCTGATTCCTCTGCCCATAAATGCGTTTGCCCCCTGCCTGAGAAACGGAGCAGTTTTTTCTCGGAGCTGGGCAGGGCTGGCTCTGTGTGCTGCAGAAGTTTCAGGGGGCAGCAATTCCCCTGAGGGGGTGTGAGGAGCTCAGCCTGCTCTGGAGGGTGGGTTTGGTGTTTGCAGGGAGGGGATGGCCCCCAGGATCTGCTGTACCTGCTGTACCCCAGGACCCTAATCCTGCTGTACCCCCTAACCCTGCTGTATTTCCTAACCTTGTTGTACTTCCTAATCCTGCTGTATATCCTAACCCTGCTGTACTTCCTAACTCTGCTGTACCCTCTAACCTTGTTGTATCTCCTAATCCTGCTGCACTTCCTACCCTTTTTGCACCTCCTAATCCCAGTGTACTTCCTAATCCTGCTGTACATCCTAATTCTACTGCACCTTCTAATCCTGCTGCCCCTCCTAACCCTGCTGTGTCTCCTATTCCTGCTGCACTTCCTACCCTTTTTGTACCTCCTAACCCTGCTGTACATCCTAATCCTGATGTACCCCCTAACCCTGCTGTATATCCTAATCCTACTGTACCCCCTAATCCTGCTGCCTCTCCCAACCCTGCTGTCCCTCCTAACCTCGCTGTACCCCCTAACCCTGCTGTACCTGCTGCCTGGGAGAGACAGCCCTGAGAGATTTAAACCTGCAGGTGCCCAAAGGTGTGTTTCTGGGGGGAGCAGGCAGAGCTGGGCTGAAAATGATGCAGCAATGAGTAACATTTCCTGTTTGCTGTGTCCCTGCTGTTGCACAAACCAAGGGCCAAACATGGCTTGGAGCTGGGGTTCGTGGCAGTGGGAGCTGTTGGGCCCCCGTGGAGGGAGAGGAAAGGTGGGACAGCAGCAGGAAAAGCAGTAGGAGTGGAGGAAAGGGTGTGCAATGAGCCAGCCCTGGCCCCACACCTGGCTCAGCTCACACCTCCTTACAAACCTTCACCACCCTTCTCTTGCTCCAGGTTTGGCTTTTCCTCCCCTCCAGGGAGGAGATCCACACAGGGAAGGTGTTTCCTCTCCCTCCACACCTGAATTTCTCCTTGTCCTGGAGAGTTTCCTACCTGAGGGGAGATCCAGCCATCTCTATCCGTTCTCCCATCCCCAAATCCCCCATTTAATAACATCCTCAGAGAAAAGTCATCATTGTACTGGTTGTTTCAGGTGATGGTGGCTGTGAGCCTTGCCTGCAAGGGAGCTGACCTGTTTCTTCTCCTGCTCAGGCTTAGAAGTTAATTCTTTAACTAGTCTTTGTTCCAGAGTAATCTCATATAGTTTTCAAGCTGCTAATTACTGGGCTGAGCATTATACAGTAAAAAAACCCACAACCCTCTGTGTGTTTTAAGAGGGGAAGACAAGGAAAATATTTCTTTTGTTTGTATCTCTTTGGAAAACTGTTCTAGTATTTTTTAATCTGCCTACCAGAATGGGAAAGAAGAAAGGGACATGTTACAGTTATCTAAATATACATCAATGGGAGAGCTGCAGAACCTGAGAGGGGAAAATTGCTCACTGGTTTCCACAACGCAGAACGAGTGAAAGTGGGCAGAGGCTTTAAAAACAAAAGCCAAAGGATGTACTTTTTTTTTTTTTTTTTAATGCAGCACGTGGTTAAACCAGGCAAATTATTGCCACAGGACGGGGTGGTAACATGGATATAAATGAGGGCAAAACAGTATTTCAGGGAGGATTAGCCTGTCGGGAGCAACTGGACACTGAGTGGTGATGAGACTTTGGCTTAGGATGCCCCAAAGCTCAGCAGGCTCAGCTCAGCTGCTGCTCTCACAGGTTTTTGGAAAGCATCCACCAGCTTTGGACACAACTGGCTGGAGCCAAAGTCTGATCCAAACGCTCCTCCATCCCTGTGCCTCTGAAAAGCGAATTTCTCTGTCCCCTGCTAAACTCCCAAACCCCCCTGACAAATCTCACACCTTTCAGGCTCTGTGTCACTTAGGCAGAGAAATGACTACAGAGGCTTCTCTTAAGAGCATGAGCTAATGGTGACCTTTAGCTCAGGCTTAGGACCCAAACTGAATCATTACTGAGGCAGGAAAAGTTAGGCAGCGACTTCTGGAAAGAGATGTTGCCCTCAGAGGAGCCTGTGGGG